AGTCTAACTTGAGACCCCCACAGCCCACTTGAGACTTTTGCCATATCTGGCCCTCCGCATGCCATATCTGGCCCTTTGCCTGTGCCTTTCTGGCCCACGGCCCGGACATGGGCTGAATGCTGACCTGCGCTCGTTGCTGAGTGACTTTCTTTGAATCGTGGGCCCTTGATTGTTGGCGGGCAGCGGCGAGTCAGGAAGCTCACGGTGAAGAGAGGAGCAGAGGCATGTCCTCAGCGTGCGCGGCTTAAGCAGCGTGGGCGTGTGACTCGTGTGTGGAGCCACAAACAGGTAATTAAATTGATAGCCGACTAATCGACAATGGAAAACGTTGACTTTAATCTACTAAATCGAATAGTTGTTACAGCTCTACTTCTGAGACTCAGCACAGCCATCCTGAGACCCTGGAGACATCAGGCCACCACCCTGGAGCAACACAGAGTATGTAGCTTCATATTATTCTGCGTTGCTATATAATGTATTCCTGAGATTTATAGTCCTCTATAGCTGGTGGTATTCTGCATTGCTGTATAATATATTGCTATATGGTGGGTCAGTGGATTTAGACCAGCTTCTGTTCTTCCTTCTTTTGGTGCGGCAGCACCCCTCCTGAACCACCATGAAGTGGAGGTTTTACTTAACCACTTCAAGACCATGTGTTTAGACCCCCTTCCTGGCCATGCCATATTTCAGTGTTAAGCGCTGCAGTACTTTGACTGACGTTTATTCCGTCATGCAACGCTGTACTGAAGTTAATTTTATACCATTTTTTGGGGACAGATAGAGCTTTCTTTTGGTGGTATTTAAACACCACTGGGGTTTTTATTGTTTACTATATAACAAAAAAGTACCCTAAATTTTGAAAAAAAACCTGTTTCCCTATGAAATGTTATAAAAAAATGTATTATCACCCCAATTTTTTGGTAACATTTTTTTTTTGTTTTTATTATAATTAGGAAAAATTACAGAAGATTTTGAAATAAAGTTTTTTTTTACATTTATGTTAGGAAACATTTATTATTACCCAGTTTTTTGGTAAAAATATAAAAGATCGGGGTAACGTCGGTTAAATAGACACCAAACATGTCAAGCTTTAAAATTGCGCGCACTCGGGAAATCGCAGAAAACTACCATACCCAAAATTGGCCATAGGCGACACTTTAAAAGCTTTTTTTTTTTAAAACAATACGACTTAAGGTTTTTTGCATATGATCAGACAGGATTGGATAGAAATAATACGGTTTACAGGTCACATAGTGCCAATGGCGTAAGTATACAAAGCAATCGGTAGTATTACAAACGGTGTAGAACAGTGGTATGTATGTAGAACTGCACATTGCATACATTTGATACCAGTAAATGGCCTATGTTTAGGGATGGTGCTACTCAGCGCAGAACCAGGAGATGGTGTCGTGAAGCCTTTTCATCAGTTTAGTGTTATCAGTGATTGGTGGCCCTAGACTTATTGCTCTCACTCCGATGTTCGCGGCGATATGCAACATGTGCGGCGTAGCGGGCGCAGTCGTCTTTTTTGCACGTATGCGCCCCCGACGCATGTTTGCATGCGTGTATGTATAGGTGGGGACTTTAAACATTTTTAAAATTCTTTTTTATCTGTAACTTTAATTATCGGCACCCGATCCGCCAGCTCTACAGCCGGCGGATCACTTGTATCGTAACAGGCATCGCTGCCTGTTTTTAAATAACGGCCATTTCCCGCCCGCGCGAGTGGGGCGTGTCTGATCGGACGTCTAAAGACGCCCGCTCAGATCTAGAGAGCTCCCGGCCGGCCGTTTTTTTCTACTACGGCCGGCCCAGAGGCAGTTAAATAACACCAGGTGGGTGTTTACTTTCTGACTGGTAGGCCAGCATAACTGTTTAACCTAGCAAGCAAAAGTATGTTTTATGTTCGGGGCCCTAAAGAACTCGCTTCACGTCTAAGGAGATTGTAGTTTTGGGGTTTTTATCTTTAGGTCACTGGTAGAGTTTTGACAGAAGGACAATAAACGTCAATAAAACAAACTTTTCTTTATAAATCCATAAAAAAATGATGGTACAAATTCACTTTGTCTTTCAGAACTGTTATGTATGGAGATCTAATAGGTAGGGCTTCTAGTGTAGCTGTTCTAGCAGAAAAAACTACTGCTAATGCAGTCTGACAAGGGCTTATAGGGAAAATTTAAGGTCCCAAGGGGGAAAATGTTTACAGTAAGGGGTTCATTTAAAAAGTGGTGGTATTGCCGCTGTTTAAAAATAAATAAAAAACATTACAAGCATTTTATAAAACACAGCAATATGCTTTTATAAACGCTGTGTAATTCCAGTGCAATAAAACAAAATATTCTGAAATAGAAAATAATTATTTAACTTAAAATAATAACATTTAGGTTAATCCATCATGTATCCCTCTAAATCTCACATGTTCAAGTGTTTCATCCAAAGCTGCTCAAGTTCTGCTAAATCTGCAAAATTTAGGATCTACCCCCAGTTGTAATCTCACACACTGGATTACAATGACCTCAAGGATAAGAAGGTCAAAAATGTAACATATAAAATGTGTAAGTAAAGGGATCCTTTCTAACTTAATTGTTTCAAATTAGCCCCATCATGGAAATCCCCAGGAGAGGCCTAAAGAGTAAAACTGCATATATTAAAAAATGCAGAGCGTTAACAACTTGGAGAGGAATTTTGACTCCACCTGTCATGTTGATTGGGGCCAGTGTAGAGGGGGGTGGAGAGATGGTGCAGGATCCAAAGTTACATAGCATGGCAACACTAAAGGTGCCCATACACCTTACAATTATCTGCAGATTTTCTGTGGTCAGATGGAAAAAGTGCAACTGATTGGCCCAGGTGGAGATTACTCCATCCACACAGTTAAGTGTAGATGGAGGAATCTGTTGCACCTTTTCCATCTGACCACAAAATAATAGATAATTGTAAGGTGTATGGCCAGCTTTACATGGGTAGAGGAAAATATGCTCTGTTGGATGATATTGAGGATATCCATTTAGGGTTAGCATTGCTGGAGCTGAATATTTCCAGCAGCAACTAGAATGACTGCTCCGGTAAGTATAGGGTATCCTGTTACCATGACTGTGATCACTGAATAGTCTGTTTACTGGGTGCTTGGTTTAAACAAGTGACATATAGGGTTGACAGATTGTTGGTTGGGACTGGGGAAGACCCAACTGTCGTGGCACACATTGGTATAACTTGCAGAGTTAGATGAAGTATTCTGAAAAATGATTTCAGGGATTTAGGTAGCAAGCCTAAAATTAGTGCTTTCAAAGTAGTGTTTTCTGAAGTACTTCTGTGCCACAAGCGACACCAAAGAAGAAGCAAGAGCTTCAGGAGCTAAAGTGACCGAGAAATGGGTTTTGAAAGGAGGGATTTGGGTCCCTGGCGATCTAGGCTGACTTTTCAGTCACCTGCAAGCTGTACTGTATTTAAATGGGGGAAGGTGAAGCTGTTTTGACGGAGAAAATGATGCTGCATGAGCTTTTAAATTGGCATCTGGTGAGGATTTTACAAGAATATACCACAGGGGTGTGGAAATGTAAAAAAAAACTACTAAGTACTAAAGCGGGGGCCAGATCTATTTGTCTCTCATGACAATCTACTTGACCGGATACAAAAAGATCATTTTAACCAAGACCATATTTAGCAGTACTTTAGAAGTCCAATGACCTCTCAAGGATAAGATGATGATAAAAGCACTAATCTAACCGCGCTGACCGAGTGCTCGCAATTTGCGAGCGAAATTCAGAATACATGGGACAGGGCTTCACTGGACAGCAGTACGTGGCACAGATAGTACACCTGTACTGGCGGACGTAAAGGACCGTTCGCCGAAAGGCAAGTATAGCAAGGAGGGAGAAGGGTCCAGATTTGAGCCGGTAATTCAATTTTCCCAAATTACTTGGGAAAGTGGATTTCCCCTTTTTAATGTGCACTGTGCACCACCCGCTCAGCCTCCGGTGACGCCGCTGACACCGCTCTCCTCCCTGCTTCGCCGGCTCGAACTCTAGTGACAGCTGTCTGCTACCCGCACCGCTCTCCATCCTAATTTGCTTGTCACAGAAGAGGGCGGGAGAAGACCTCAATCTCATATGATAACGCTGACAGCGCTCTCCTGCCCGCCTTACTCTGCCTCCTGAAAGATTTTCTCCTCCTTGCTGGGCGCTGCTGTGTCTCCACCGATCCCCGCGGCCTTTGCCAACACAGGTGGGGGGTTCAGAAGGGACACGGAGCAGTGCCCAATGGGGCACATTTTGCTCAAAGTACCATTTTCTGCCTAAATTTCGGTGCATCCTAAATTGAATGTGCTTCCTTTTTTTGTTATAGGTCCTTTCATAGACTGATTTGCTGGGAACCAGGGCAATGTTGTTATTAAAGTGGCTTTCATTAGGGATGAAACTATTGTTGATAGGGGTAATGGAACTCCGTATTCAACAAAGGTTGGCCATTTCTTGAACGCAGTGTAGGATTATTTCATGGTTTAGATGGTGGAAGCTGCAGCTAGAAAAAAAATGCTGTTTCGGTAATAGTGATTATAATGTTATTAGATTTCCCTTGCGTTTAAAGGTAAGAGAACCATGTTGGTATGAGAACACTCTATTTCAAAAAAGGTTAACGTTACTAAGCCAACCTGAAATGCAATAGGAGTTTGATGCAGGGATTTACCTGATAATTAGTATGGTATCAGGGAAGATTTTTTTTTTTTTACAGCAAATTGATGTTTTTTTCTGCCTTTCTCTGATCCAAACACAACTCTCACAGTGGTAAAACTTAATGGACCCTTCTTTTTTTTTCCCCCACCTTAACCATGTAACAATGAAACATTGCCTTCATTTACATGCCAGATATTAGTTTGTGCAGTGTTTTTTTGCTTTGTTTTTGTTTTTGCACTTTTTCAACAGAACATTGTCTGTATTTTGTTTTACCGTAAAGTTTTCACGAACTATGAGTACTAACAGCGTTTTAACTGTGTTTCCTTTTAGGTTAAAATACAGCCTGTAGCAAAATATGACTGGGAACAGAAGTACTACTATGGCAGTCTCATAGCAGTATCTAATGCTTATCTTGCATATGCCACTAGAGGTACGACCGGTGTATTTTTAAATGGAAACTTTAGGTGTTTTTTTTTTTTTCTTCTCACAGTATATATGTCATTATGATTTAGCTTTATGTAAGCATTTTTGTCAAGGTATTTTCATAAAATCTGATTCTTGGTTATAGTTGGTAAACCGCAGTAATAGCAAGAGCTGCGCTTTACTGCTCATTTTTAGGAGCATCTATAAATGGCCCTATCATTGCATGTGTTGCTTCCAATTTCAAGCATTGTTTGTTTTGATTTCACCATTTCTGACTTTCCAAGGGGTGATAACCAGCATTTTCAGTGATTGGAGGCATTCATTATCAGAGAGATTTGTGACTTATCTAATCTCTGTGTTTTATGCTAAAGAGTGAATAGTCAATGTACCACATGTGTACTGATGTTACCATTGACCCATTACTGCAGCAGGACCCACCTCCCCAGTGACTCGATAAATCAGATTACTCTCCTTCCTGTCTTGCACATGAAAATGTTTATCTGTTGATGTGCGCTTTTAGATAATAACTCTCTAATATGGGTGGTAAAGCTGCCACAATACACACACACGTCCTAAATTATGAATAGCGATTGTGCGGTGCTAAATACCTTAGTGTAACTAATATTAACTGCAAATCTATAAAAAAAATATATATATACACCTTAATCTACTAATAAAAATTGTGCAAAACAAAAAGTGAAAAATAGTGCATCACAGATAGCATATACACTAAATTAATGTGATTGGTGTAACCGAAGACTGGATATGTAACCATCCAGATATAAACTTACACAGTGTTTAATAGTGACTTTATATATAACCAGAAAAACAGAACTTCATAGAGTGATAAAAGTGATAGTCAATATAAATCCATAATCTGAATCCATAATCAAAAATCCAAAACGTGTAAAGTGCTTGTGCTTGATAATCCCCCTAGTGCCACACACGAAGCCCTCTGGACAATGCACACTCACCTCATATATATCGTCTTAAACTTTGTAGGTAACCTGAATTCGGTATTGGATCAAAAGGTCCCCAGCATTTTCTCCCATATGTTAACGAGTGTAGTTTCACATGTAGTAAAAAAATCAAAAGGAACTCCTCATGGTGTAGTATATCCCAAAACGTTTATTGATAGAAACAAATAGAGACTCGCATGTAAGTATAAAACCGGCCAGTATCCCACGAGCTCCCGTGCTCACTTCTGCATTAGCTGTGACGTCAGATAGGCCCGCCCGACGCGTTTTTAGGACGTTATCAAGGGTATAGCAGGTCCGCACATGTTACATATCACCGCGAACGTCGGAGTACGAGCAATAATTTTAGGGCCATCAATTACTGATAACTGATAAGCAATAAAAGTGTTTTAAGCGTCGCCTATGGCCAATTTTCGGTGCGGTCGTTTTTTTTGCCATTTTGCGGGCGCGTGCAATTTTAAGGCTTGATATGTTTGGTGTCTATTTACCCCGTCTTTTAAGTTTTACCAAAAATATGGGTAAGAATAAATGTTTAACATAACGTAGGGGGAAACTTTTTTTAAATTATTTACAGTCGTTTTTTCATTATATAGTAAATAACCCCCCCCCGCCGTGGTGATTTTATATACCTCAAAAAGCTCTATGTGTCCCCAAAAAAACGTTAACATAAATAGCAAGGCTATAGTCCGCTCATGCTGACTGGTGACATTTTTGACTGGTGAGACACCCTATAATTTTTCAAGACCTGTGTAAACAAAATGTTTCAAGCCCAAAAGTAAAAAAATGAAATAATAATTAAAAAAAAATTTAAACCAACCCCACCGCTCCCACCATCTGCTGCCCCCATTCCGTTTTGCTTCATTTTGGGCTAGCCGTGCAGCAGCGCTCACTAACATGCGTAGTGTACATTAAATAGTAAGTTCACTTTCCCAAGAACATGTTCTGTGGAGTTTTCCTGTATTTGACCACCTTCTTCTGCCAGGCAATTAATACTCTGTTGTCCCTTCGAGAGACCACAACCCAAACAGAGAGGACACCTATCGACCTTCCAGGACCCATCCCTTGTGTCCTGTGTATATATGCAGGGGTGTGGAATTCCTATCGCCCGACGCCCGGGACATGCAGTTTCGGGCGCCGGGCGAGTAGTTGTAAAGTACATTCAGCCCGGCTCCGGACAAGCAGAGCTGAATGTACATTGTGGAGCCGCCGCCGCTCGTTTAATACAAGTGGTCTGATCAGACCACTTGTATTAATTTGAGCAGCGGCGATCGTTTCTGCCCGCACCCCCCGCCGTAGTTTTCGGGGTCGCCCGCTCTCCCGGGGGACCCCGAAAACTAAGGCACAACGGCTCAGCCATAGAGCCCATAGAGCAGACGAAAAACGTCTGCTCTACGGGCTCTCTGTGTGTTCTCTGAGACCGTGGCGCTGTAATCACAGCGCCACCTGTCTCGGCTGTCAGGAACTACACAGAACAGCTGTTCTGTGTTGGAGGGCAGGTTCCATAAAGAGAACCTGTCACCTCCAAACTATCACATAAGGGATTTTAATCTCCTATGTAATAGGAGGAACATTAAGGGGGAAAAGTAAATAAAAAGTTAAAGAAAATGTAAAAATTTAAAAAGTTAAAAAAATAAAATATATAAAGATTTAAAAAATGAAAAAGTAAAAAATAAAAAAATAAATAAAAATGAAACCCTGCTGCCCCCGCCATCTGCATGCAAATAAACGCATGCGAAGGACATTCTGCATGTGCTTTGAGATTGCAGCTGCCATTCCATGGTGGTAGCCAGAATTCTCTTACACACACATAATGTGCATTAAAGGGTAAGTTCATTTTCCCAGGTAATATGGAAAAATAAAAATTACCCGATGAAATCTGGCCCTGTCTCTCCCAAACCGCCACCCCCCTGGCTATACTTACCTTTCGGCGAACAATCCCTCCCCTCCGCCAGTATGGGTGTACTATCTGTCCCCCGTACTGCTGTCCAGCGCAGTCCTCCCCTATGCATTTTGAATTTCGCTCGCAAATTGCAAGCACTCATTGGTCAACGTGGTCAGATGACTGCGCTGACCAGTGAGAAGCGCTATTTAGCACAGTAAAATATGTTTTGATTAGGGGTGCACCGATACTAGTATCAGTGCCGATACCGAGTATTTGGGCAAGTACTCGTACTCACCCAAATGCTCCGATACCTTCCCCGATATTGGAACTTACGGCCAGATGAAAATTTCCTCTGACTGGCAGTGCCGTAGGGGAACATGGAGCCAGCTTCCCGTGCAATCAGGAAGCCGTACGGCAAGTAATGACCCGCCTCCTGGTTTTCTGATTGGCCCGGGAAGCCGGCTCCTTGCTGATTGGCTGGAAAGCCGGCTTCCTGGCCAATCAGCATCCAGCCAGTTTCCCGGTCAATCAGGTCATTACTCGCCACCCAGCTTCCTGATTGACCGGGAAGCAGGTTTCCCGGCCAATCGCAATCAAGCAGGCCAAACAACATGGAGCCGGCTTCCGTGGCAATCAGGAACCTGGGCGGGATGTCATTACCTGCTGCCCGGTTTCCTGATTACCAGGGAAGCCTGCTCTATGCCAGCGGAAGCACCGGTATTAGTATTCAGTGTTGGCGAGAACCCGAAAGCAAACAATCGGTACTCGTACTCGATATCGAAAAACGGCCCCCACTTTAGCCCTTGAACAAGTAGTTTTTAAAAAAATGTCCACACCCCTGATATACAGTACAGATGCTCCTCGAGTTGTGATCGATCGAGTTACAATCTTTCACATTTACAATGGAGTTTACTGTACACTTGGTCGGCACCGACGGGATCGGTAGGTGCCGGATAACTGTAGCACCCCCGAGGCGCTCCGCTTCAACAGCCGGCAGCTGAATGTAAGCAGGGGGGCAATAGACAGACTGCTATTGGCAATGTCAAATTGCAATAGCAGGCTGGCTTTTGCACCTGCCCACTGAGCAGAGGAGCAGACTTGAGAGAGAACTTTCTCTCTCAGGTCCACTTCTTTTAGGGGGCAGGGTTTCAATAGCCAGCCTGCTATTGGTTATTGCAATTTGAAATTGCCAAATAGCAGTCTGGCTATTGCTCCCCTTTTTGTACTGTTTGCAGCCGAATGCGGCACTACAGTACACTTCCCAGGTTACAATGGGTTTATCAGAACGTAACCCCATCGTAAACTTAGGAATGTCTGTATGTGTGTATCTTATACTATCATAGCATATGATTTGTATGGTTCATATAGGAGAATTCTCCCTAAGCATATGTAGCAAGTATGCCGATTAATCACTTCATCCTCTTTCTCTCACTGTGCTTTTATTTTTTTCCAGCAACACCTTTCTATATGTTCTACGTTCACCCTACCTGTGTGTGTCGCTTTGTACCCCTGCCTCTTATGCCTCTGCACCAGTTAGAACTCCAAATGCCAGTAGTCCAGAATCTATTGCCATTCTGACTAAATATGGCATGTGCATGGTGCTCTTGACAGAGCACGAACCTCTGTCAGCTGCAAGGTAAACTCTCCATACCAATGTTTACCAACATATACCTGCCAGAGCCACTTTATTTGATAAGCCCTCGTTCACACCTGAACGTTTTGTAGCGCGTTCTACGCTCGACGAACGCTCTACAAAACGCTCAAAAATATAAATCCCATTGTATTCAATGGTCTCGTTCCCACCTTGGCGTATTTCCGCCCGTCCCTAACGCGCTACAAAACGGCCCACGCCTGAAAAGGTACATGTACTACTTTGGGACGTTTTGTTGCGCGTTTCCATTGGGATACAGCCAAGTAGCCTTCGGAAACGCGTGTTTGTCGCGCGACTTTTTTACCGCGAATCGCGGTTAAAAAAACGCGCGACGGTCGCGCATATGCAATAAGCCTAGGTGTGAACCAGGCCTAAGTATAAGCACTTTCAACCTCTCCATTGCCCTTTGACTTTGTCACTTTAAAAGAGAACTATGAGGTGAGTGCTTTTCACTCACTTCATAGTTCTAGCCGACCTGTGACAATGAGACTGTCGCA